TGGTCATATTTGTTAAGGTAACCATGTACATTTAAATTTATGATGAATTATAAAACCGTCATCTTACCCAATTAATTTGTTTCGGTTTCAAACGGGCAAGGGCGCGTATCTAACCCACCTAGACAGCTATCCTTCAGTCCAAACCTTAGTTTGGATCTAACATTGACCAAGCATCATGCTTACTGCCTTCAGCACATTTCACAAGCCCGTGAACGGAAAATGTAGAACAGTGAAGAATAATAGGTTTCATGCAAGAATCATCAAATTTTACAGCCAAATTGAGTACTTACAACATATTTACTTGTAACGAAATGTAAAATACTTATCCTGAACAGACTCGCTTTCTTCTCATAATTAGGTACTGATCAACAGCAAAGAGTGTACAATGTATCATCGAAATTAATTTTGATGTTCATTCACTCATGAAATTGCACAACAGTGCATTGTTCTACAACACTGTGATGCTCGAGAAAACAACATTATGATTACTGTCAACCCCTTTCTAAAGTAGAACAGTACATCTCTAATGTACCAAGAGAACATCTATTTGCAAGCTCAAATGATATGTGGAAATAATTCATTGAAATACTAAAATGGAAATCAGCCTTTACCTTCTGTGTAAACAAATTTATTAGTAATCAGATACAATAATCACTGTTGTAATTACACATCTTTGTCTGGTTCAAGAAGTCGTTCTCAATCTTCAAAAACTCACTTCTAACAGAATGCATTGTCTCTCTATTATTACAATCTGTGACGTACTCAATCCACGTATTTGGACACAGTCAGTTAACATGCATGGAAAATTATACTGTCTGTTTCTATTTATCATGAATCATTGATTATTGGCTGCGTACATGTGGATATAGGGTGTTAGTTTGGAAAACGACTGTATTACAAATAACGTCGTGTGAATAATCCAAGTTTCCAGCAAGCAGTTAATTGTAGTAACTTACTGACTAACACAAGTTCCCACTCATGGAGGAGCAACATCATTCACCACCGGGCACTGCGCTGGACAAATCTTTTAAGTTGTTTTCAGTAGCTAATCATCCTTATGATGTTTACTTTCTATTCACGATGCAGTGTGTTATTTGACCATTATCTTCTCCGCTTCCCTTAAATACTCCAAGTTAACAGTTGCTTTGTGGTGCTGTTTGATGATTTCAGCGATATATGTTTTATTCATCTTAGGCGACTTTTCCGAATTTTCTCTTCTGGAAGTTGTTTTGTTCTCTCCTACAGTAGGCTGATGCTAATAGTTACAAGTACTTATGCGTTTTTGATCATGGTTATGGTACTTCTCCTAGTTTTATCTTTATGCAGTGGAACTGTCTTGACCTTCGTATTGAGGCTCGTGACATTAATATTGGTTGACAGTTCCTTTCGGTTCTGTTTGTTCAAATCTTTCAATTGATTCCGAGCTGTCTCTTTTATTCCATATTTTCTCTCAGATGTGAAGCTATTCATTAACCTGTGAAACACCAGAAGTAGGCGAATGTGCGAGCGTAAACAGTTGTTTATCTGTTTCAATCGGACTCAATTTTTATTTCAATAGGACTCAGGTATCTGAGCATAGAGGATGAGTTTTGCTTAGCGAAACCAATATGATTACCACGCTTTCTCCGTTGCATGTCCTTTCGTTTGCTTTCCACCAGTTAATTTCTCCGGTTGCCTGTCTGGATCAATGAGTGTGTGAAACATACACGTTCAAGATACATTCTCGTATTTGTCTCATTTTATTCCGTCATTGTCGAAAAACAACTGAGTGGATAAAAATAGACGTGCATTTTCGGCATGTATATTTCTACGACAATCAGCATACGATCTACCTTAAGTTAGATGAAGGACCACTAATACAGATATCACTGTGCCCACTATTTGATGATCAATTAGTGTTCAAACGCATATTTTACTACCTCCATTGTGTTCATATTTTTCAGCATGTCATGTTCTATGAGGCTCTCATCAACAGGCTCGCACTATGCGTACAGCTGGAAAGAAATGTATCACCCAATTGAAGTTTCTGTTGCACATAATTTACTTTGAAACGCTTCATTGCTTTTCGAAATTTGAGGTCGTATCATCCGTCTGTCTTTTGTATTCAAAGTAAGTTTATCTTTCAGCTGTGATGTTAGTTGCCTTCTGTGTTAAGATAGCACACTAATGATCAATATTGTGAATGATATAATTTTTCGAGGTGAGATACTTACTAACCAGTTTCGTTTAGTGAGAAAGTACTCACTCGCTCATCCTTTTTTTATACATGACTGTTCAAGGAGTCAGCTGAAGTCTGCTGTCTGAACTCTACTTCAACTCATTACTGTTTCAAAGTAGCAGCCAAGAAGGTAAGGTGAAAGACGTGAAAATTGTTCTCACTCAACCAAACGTGATTGCTTTATATATGAAACTTTGTTTATCTCTAACGATTAGAGCTGTGTGAAGTAATAAAATTCATTTATTTATTCACTTATTCACTGATAAGAGCCGGCCTACATTGAGTAATAGAACATCAAAAATGCAAATGACTACTTGTCACAATATCACGAACAAGATTATTATTATTCTGTTTGGCAGAGTTTAACTAAACCCATTTTTCTCCCATGTACAATAAGTACTTATTCCCTTGACGGAGATGCAAGGGAATATGAGTTAAAACGTTAGTGAAGTTGAATAAACATCTGGGCAAAAATGTAACACTTGTAATGACTAAATAATAGCCACATTAGCATGAACGTCAAGGAGATCAATCAGTGGAAACGATTGAATAGAGTATGGTAAAGTTGTTGATTATCAGTAACTGTTAGAGATTCTGAAAGCTGTGTAGGCAGTACGAGATTTATATCAGTTTTCTCATCCTCAATATACAAGTCGAAAAACTGTAGTTTTATGTCTTATCTATTTCAGACTGTGTTTCGGTACCTTTTATGAGTTATTCCAAGTATTTCGGTACTTCATTGTGATTTTCAATAATATAGAAGCATTTGACCAACTATAGAAACGTCACTTTGAAGGAGTCCACTTTCGTAATGGTTTTCTTTTTTCTCTTATTCCTATTTGACTATTATTGATGATTTAATGTAATGGTAAGTATTTTACAATTGACTGATCACTGTGTCGTCACAAATGTCTTGTGTGTCAAGTCCTCATTAGCGTATATCGCGTGCTATCGACCATGATGCACCAGTCTAGGTGACTCAACACTGCGTGCACTATTGTGAGATTAGATGGTGATTGGAGGTGGTCGACAAGAAATCCTGGACCCGGGTTTCGTGCTGTAGCAAACCTGAAGGAAGTCATCGACCTAATGATTTGTAGATCAGTTGATGAAATAGATCTTTTGAAGTGACCACTCACATATATGACTTTGGAACCGATTTTATTTAAGTTGGTATAACTATGCACGTGATTATCTACTTTGAGATGTTTCAACAGTCATTAATCATAATTTAGCGGACATCTGTATTGCTTGGTGCTCCATCACGTTGGTTGAGTGAACGAAAGTTGATTTTTCACTTTGGAGTCACTATTACCATTTAAAACACAGTTGACATGATAACAAAAATCCGACACAAATAAGTTACAATATTGAAGAAAATTTGGCGGAGTGTAAATGTGTGAGCGATTAAGGAAATTGTTAGTTTATAAGTGGAGCTGGTCACTGTATAACCAATTTACAATCATGACGTTCAACAAAATGTACAAAACGTTCGAAATGAAGTACACAAAATGAACCCAAACTCGATTTACAACATATTTTATCCCAATCAGATGGCGTCAGGCAGCAGTCAGTATCTAGTATAACGATATTATATGCTGAACACAAGACTGAAATCTATTTGGCAAACCTCAACACCTGTAGTTCACTGACAGCGCTCTACGTCCAGTCATGAAATATGTTTGCGTAAAAGCTTAAACAATATTTTAGGATGTTTTGTTTCAATAGACGAAAAAAGGTGACAATCGTTGTCAGTGTTGACAAAGTTCATGTTCTAGAATCCATAGATAATCATGTTTTATATAAGCCCCACAGCACAATTCAGAACAATGAAGCTGAACATCATCAGTGACAACCGTGAAGTATGAGTGCTCCGAAAAACTGCAATCCATTGTGCAACGCTGGATACTTATTCTTCAATAGCACTTAACACACCTAACTATCATCTCAGTATCGGTATCCTTTGTGAAGCTGAGAAAGACAACTCCATTTTAGCTTCTTCTGAAGAATAAGCTTTGAGTGAAACTAATGGACGTATATTGGTTCTGTCAACAATAAAAATTTGGAAAGAATCACAATCAGTCTAGATAACCCCGAATTAACCATAGTTTGTCACTCAGCATTTGCTGAACAATGAATAATGAAGTAACGAAGGATGAAAGAGATTAATTATGTTTTGATGATGTGTGTTCCGACAGGTCAATTTGCAATAATGACCGTCGCATATTCCAAATGATATTTTTCAGTAGTCCGACGTGATATTGACGAAAATTCCAAAACGTGCACATTGATGATTAATAAACACAACACCACCAGTTCAAGAACAAGATGTTGTCAAACTCTCGAAAAACAAGTCAGATTTTAATGAAGACAAAAACGCAAATATTAAAAACCGTGTCCGGTATTTTATTAACAAGTGTACATCGGTTATTACGTAAGCAAGGACAAAATACACATAGTTCCGTGAAGAAATTTACCGAACCATTGAAATGAATAATTAAGTCCAAAGTTTTTAAATGGAATACGAAATAAAAAAGCACTTGGTCATAATATTCGAGAATCATTCATTATATCTTCGTCTTTTATACAGCCATCTCCAAATTACGTAGCCGATGCAAACAGCAAAGAAGATGACCGAAGGAATCACAATATACAGGTACCAAAGCGATTTGTTCTGTTTACTTTCTTCAGTTATTTCAGTGGTCGCATTCTATAGAATAAACAAAACAGTAGCATTCATTACAAAACATGAAGTACTTTTTGATTAATTCATTACGTATTGCTGTCAATAAGGATGATAAAATACAATTCAACAAACAGTAACAAAATGTGCATTTGTACAATCATTCAGAACATTTACCACCGATCTGACAATCAGTTAAACAAGCACATACCTTATAATGGCAACCATTCACTTTAAAGAAATGATTATCCTGATGATTACTGTCAATGCACGTGTTCCATTTCTCACACCAAATACATGTCGTTTTCGATGTTGTTGCTTTTTTGCATGCTTCGTTTGAATTGTGTATTGGACAAATTGCTGTAAAAGTAATTAGGTGATACTATAATTCGAATTTTTAAACAGAAGTAAGAGAGAATTACAATACATGCAACTATAACTCAATGACATGATAGTAATTTCAGTGTTAAGTGACTATTTCATTCACTGGAGGGTTGTTATCACAATGCGTGATGCAATAATCAGTATACATTCAATTTCAATAATGTTTCACAACGGAATGTTTGGAGTGAATGAAACAAGTTAGAATATCAATTATGAACGATGAATTCCGACTGACAAACTTGACAGATTTCAATGACTGTTTACATTCAGAGATGTAAGCACAATGCTGTCACTGGGTTCAGCAAAGCCTACTGCATATTATATTTCAACAACGCAGAGTTTCTTTTCATGAAAGCAGTGCTGGAAGTTTAGTTGTTCTAAGACTACAAATTCAATTCAATCATGGTGATTCAGTTGAACATTAAATGATGATAGACACTGTTATTCCAATCATCATTGCCATTTTTCCCTGAAAAGATTTTAGTTGTTCTAATATGATAAAACATATCGAAGTATGTGGCCGCATTCTGGTCTGTGTGTTGTCAGTTAATGCAACAGACTAGTTGGATCAAAGAAAATTCATCGATGATAAAGATAATGTTGTATTCGATGAATATGAAGGCGATTTGGGTATTGGATAATGGAATGACTCTCACAGTGGTGGAAATGTTATTTCGGTAGCCTAAAACATGGTGAACTGAAATCTGTTTTCATTTACTGAGTGTTCATATTCCTGAGAAAGAAATCAATTTCGTATTGTGAAATACATCAATAATTCTGAGACTGTCTATGATGAATATAAGTTTGGTGACGTCACATTTCATCTTCATTTTATCGAATATATATGACAAAGCAGAGATTTCAGAAAGTAGACAATCGTTTTTTGTTTAATCGCAATGACATGGAGTGTTATTGTGATTTCAATGCCCCAGAAAAATTCGATATCACATGTACCAAAAAAGAAAAACAGAAGCTGCCTGGTCAATCCACAATCAGATAACTGTCACTTATTCGAGATTACTATCAAGTCATACATCGTTTTGTGAGTTTGTCCACAAGACTTCAATAATCGTTCAAAATGGATACCTTATCATTCTTGATATTTAAAAGTGAATCGACGTGTAGTTACTAATGGTAAGTGAAACGTATTTTGAGACGGATGTCTGGATGTCATTTAGTAGCTGACTGCAGTTACAAATGAAATTTCCAGCGTGTTGAAATAAAAAGAATGGATTCAAGTGTGAAAATAGTAAATGATGATAAATAAGGTTGAACATACTGCCGATGACTTCATACTCCACTAACGTGCCACTTCTGATCCATTCTACTGGAACAGCTATATCATGTTCTGTCCTACCTTGTATGACAAATTGAAGAGGAAACACCTAACATTTAGATTTCCTTTATGAGCAACAACAGAAAAATTTAAGTTCAACCCTTTAAACATTTTTTCACGTTTCAGCTTACAGATAAACAACATGGGAGCATCAAATGAAAAACGAATGATGACTAGCGTTCCTTCTTATTTAAAACGTCTCAGCTGGATATTCCTACATCTCGACGTTGATGTTTACTCGTGGACAAGAGCTCAGGACCATTCAATTCAAACGCCATACGGATATTTACTTAACTATTCAGTCCAAACACCCAGTGGCTTGTACAAAGCTTGAAACGTTATTTCATTCCTGCTTTATTGATTGAATCTTCTCATTTTCATTATTGACGGCAATCGATTCTACTGCTAACCACCATCCATGTTTGTTTACAATGCTTGTGATCAAAGACAACATCGAAGCAGTCATCACAGAAAGCGCATGAATCAATAAGAGACAGGTGAGAGAATTCAAACGAGCAACATAGAAATGACAATTTTCATCATTTTTTGCTGACTCAGTAATGCACTTCAACCGAGCAATCTATATCACTTGACCAAATATTTGGTGCATTTTCTCACATGTGATCATGAAACACTGTATTCCGCTCATTCACTCAGCTTGAAACTCAGCTTCATCTTTCGACAACACATAGGATTGAGCATTGTGTGAAGAAACTATTAGCTTCAGATGCCTCTTATTCATCACTTTCATATATAGAACACACTTCGTCATGCATTGAGTGGTGATATGAATGAAAAAGGCAAGTGTGACTGTCGTATTGTGAGTAATCGCGTGAAAAACAAGTCGATACTTTGTCTGCCTAATTTCGTCGTTCATATATCCCTGACTTGTTCAGTTGATCGCTCTCCACAAGTATAAAACCTCTCTAATTAACCACTCAAAGTTTTGCTATAAAAAACATTCATACTCCTTAGTTACTTTATTCCAGATAGCCGGATATACGAGCCTCAGCAAACAAATGATTGATTTTTACGTCACCGTACATCAAACTGTCAACATCATTCTTTGCAAAGTTTCTTACCTGTGTCACATTGAAAGATTCCTCGGATTCCTAATATCTCGTCTTCGCTAATTTTCGAAAGAATCTGAAAGAAACATGGAACGAGGATTGGTCAGCACACAACCTCTTATATCAAAACAAATTGATCATTATAGAAATGGGTCTTCGTTCAAATTATCTTAACCACACTTACATGACGTATATTGATATTCTCATTTTCTTTGGGAGTGTGTTCCATCTGGTGTACATAAATATCCTGAATCACGTCAGTTGTCGAATTCAGTCAAGTTTGACGACTTAACAGTCTATCATGAAATATGTTGACACACTGTGAGACGAAAATCTACGTCAGTTGTAATGAAATGTGATTGTTAACAGCTTCAAGGAAGCTGTGCTCAGATGATACATTAATGAATGTTCCGAAAAGCCGACCATTTGAAGATGAAATACAGTCTGACAGAATACGAAACATTACATACACTATTCTGACGTACACTGGTTGGTACTATTTTGCATGAACACATCATTGTTACAACTGATATCACTTCATTTCTAATTACTCACTCTTTAACAAGTGCTAGAGTGAGTTGTGTCATTTAAGGAATAATTACATAGTCAAATAGTTTGTTGGCACATGACAAAATGTTGATCTTTTTATATCGTGTTCAGCGTAGCTTAATACATTCGACAGTATTCATAAATATGAAATAGTAGGTTGAACTCAAGTACTCGAAACAAAATTATATGTACATTCAATTTTGTAACTTACGTTCTCATAATAGATAGATATCTTCCCATTCGGATATATCAGATTAGTTACTGTGGGTGATGTCTCTAAAAATAAAAGATTAAAGATACTTAGAATTTGAAAGATAGGTGTAACACAGCATATGCTCACTCACAAGGTGATCACATTTAGTGGATATTTACTGAGTTGTGTCAAATGCTTTCTTCAGTCGGATTCGCATTCAAAACATTGAAGTCAACTTGATGTGAATGAAACGAGCATGCATCCTTCCAAACTAGTGTGAAATGCCCAGTTTCTGAATCTGTATTACTATTGAATCATTGAAGGTCTAATACTGCAAAGGTATTCGCACGTAAGCAATATTCTATATAACTTTCCTTGTAACCATCGACTCCAAGTGTGTATCACATAAGTAGTGGAGCGTTTATTTACAAACTCAACTTGAGAATCTCATTGTTTATCTAACATATGGATATTTAAATCGATCAACGAACTCTGACCACGGTGTTTGTTTGTTGTAGATGAGAGACGAATAGATTTGAATATGTAATCTCAACGACTTCTCAATGTGAAAGGATAATATATAGGAATGACTATGTGATGAATGGAAGTGTAGATGAATATGATGTGCACAGGAATGACTTTGTGACGAACATATGACACGATTCATTTTCTTTGAAGCAATGGTTTATCGTCAAGTTTCATCGAAGCATTAAAACAAAAGTGAATCTCTGCACAGGTTTTCAAGCAGGCAATGAACATCAATATTTTACACGTCATATTTAATTTTTCTCAGTCGGTGTCAACTGAGTTTCAAGTCTCAATTAATGTCATCAAACGGTGAATGGATCTTACATTTGGTTCAACCCCCATTTTCTAGAAAAGTAACAAAGTTTTACTTATCCATTTTCTGAGAACTGAATCTCACAAACATTGAGTGATCACAATCCGTGAAGATGTAAGTGTGCAGGTTTCATATTGGTTGACTTACGTGTACTTTCAAATTCTGTATCATCAGACCATTTGAAAGCGATTAATTCCTCTGAATTATTGAAAATAAAAATAGATAATGAAATATGTGTAAAATGAAAATCCATCTGTTTTAATAAATGTACGTTTTAACATGGACTACCTCTGCATACAAGTTATCAATTTCATTCCAACATTTACATGAAATGGTGTGGTGAAATGCTCGATCATCGCTTATGAGGAAGCTTCAAGGATTATTGTCACTTCAACGATATGATGGACGGTTCAATACAACTAAGTTAGAAGAATGTTACTTTTCTGTTAATTTTTATCAAACGTTTTTGACTGAGTAATTGTCTTTTGATATTTATTGGACGCTAGATTTTGCTGATCATCAATTCGTATAGCTGACCGAGATGTACGGATGTAAATTTGATGTTCTAGGTGTTCTAGTTTGAGTAAAGAATTTTGTACTACACGACTGTTTAGTCCGCTTTGTCAGAAAGTGTTTGGATTCGAAGATCATAATCATATGAAAATGTTTATAGGGATATAGTTGAGTATACGATGGTCGACAGACAGCACTGACTGCAGTAAGTGCTAGAAATGTATTTTAGGGCACCAAATAAGAGTTTCTAGATTGTCTGCTTCAATAGTACAAACTAATTTAACTCAAAATATCGCTTATTACTGCACATTTGTTTAGTTTGATTCACTTACATTACTGGGAAATCTCGGGTCGGTGAGATTCCATATATGCAAAATGTATTTGTGAACAGTAAACAAAACAAACTACAACTGAATAATTCAAGAAACTCACTCTCATTCAAAAGATACGTTGACACATAATCATCTAAATCATTTGAGATTGTTCCAATTATCTCGTCGTTTTCAAATATATCTAAAATACCTGTATTTTTGTTAATGAAAACATACAATTAGATTGATAATTTCACATTGAATGAATAAAATATAAATTGCATAAGTTCGACATGTAACACGGAGCATGTAAGTGATTCATTGAAGAAATTGAATCAACTATGATTCATGCGATTAATTTGTGATCAAGAAAATAACAATTTTAATTCAAAGAAAATAATGGACTTACCATTAAGATAAAAAATAAATTTACTAACTTGAGTTTCGTAATATTTCAACGGGAATTGTGGTTTAATATCCTAAAAAGTGTAAATAAGTGGATAGTGCCTCAACTACAAAATGTAATCAACTCACTTTGAAGCCTTTGAGCTTAATAAAACTGCCACTCACATCTGGACGAGGCTGATTGAGACTAATTGTTTGTGAGTAATGATAATGATGAGACTGTATATGACTATTAGCATCTGACTGATTACTTACATATCGATATGACTCATTCTTTAAAATCACTTTTTTAAAGTTCTTCCACTCCGGCTGTTTACAGATTTCATCGCAGATACAGAACCCGGAAAACAGGTTCAAGATCATAGAAATTCGTATGAACAGATCATATGGAGAATTGAATCTAAAATGATTCAGGTGAATAAAATAACGTTATCTCATGGAATCAAATTTCAATGTGTACGATACACTCGTTTACCTCGTGTGTTCAGCTAACACTCACCTCATCATCTCGTTTAAAGCAGTTAATGAAATTTCACTAAAAATTGTCTGGTACATATAGTTTTTTGAGTGTTTGGTTGTTTTATTCTGATTCGATGATTCAAAGTGACCATGAAGGTCAAATTTCGTTCATTACGTTCATTATTGACCAATCATGGTGGTGGAATAATTGATCGTTATTCAATATTCATCTATCTATTGGGAACCTGAGCTGGAGTTTATCCACCGCTGTTTTATATTCCTGACTCCTGTTGATGAAACTGCTCTTGAATGTAATTGAAAATGCTTCATAACAGACGGTTGGTTAACTTGCTATTCAAAATTTGTGCTCATGTGTTTACGAACAAGCAGTTTGCTGCTTGCAAACACCTCTGAATAGACTGTCAACGGTGTATTGTTTTTATTTGAATTCAATCAAAATGACACAAACTGTTTAGATGTCAATTCAACATTTAGACATCTACACTTGAATTTCATTTTAATAAAACTTCTGTTAGACGATTTCATCATAGTTCAATGAGAAAATATAACTTTGCTCCATTTCTGTTGAATTCTAAACAGAAGCAGAGCTGTAGTAGTAGTCTGTGATAAAATAGAGCGGTTTACAAAAGTGCTAAATACATTCAAACATATTGAAATGGAGTTCATTGGAAATGAAGTGGATTGGGCTAACGTGGACATTGCAGATTTAAATGCTCTGAGTATGCAGAGTAATTTAATCCATTGACTCCCCTGAAGAGCCAGGTGAATATGCGTTGAAGACACAACTGATAATGAACTGAATCTAACCTAATAATTATTCCTGGAGACTTTCTTCAAACCTATATCAATTGACACAGCTAATTAATGATAATCAGAGAGATATATTTATGCGTGATTTCAATTCCACATTGAATACCACTGACTGTTTGTTGTTTCACTTGTTTGTATTTCGTCTTCTCCACTTTCCTTAGGTGGACACTCATCTTTCAAGTCCCTAATATACTCGGGGCCATTATGTGATTAACAACACAAAAGTGTATTTGAGCGAATGCAGAAGATAAAATTATCCATCAGGAACATAATATCGTCGATGAACTGTATTTGTTTGACGTGAACACAACACGTGCTATTTTCGTACTCGTGAAACCGTTCACACTGTGTGCTGTACCTTGTCAATTCAGTCACGATTATGTGTTTGAATATTCCACATAATCAGCCCATCTACTTTAGTTCTTCCAATCTACTTTACGTTTTTGTATAGAAAATATTCTTCTCAAGTTAACACTACTGAAAATAATAGTGTACATTAACTGAACGCGTGATATGCAGATATCTGTCTGTTGACCGCATTTGTTGTTTGTAGAAATGTCAATGATCAAAGATTCTGTTGTTTTTCACCATATTTTATCTTAATTATCACGTTATCTGATGTTTTCTATTTACTTTGAGTATAGAAAGGAATGTCGCTTTCTAATGATGCATTCATATGACTGACAAACACACAGCAGAAAAATGAATGAAATTCTCTATCATTTTTGAGCAGATTTGGCATCAGCTATGAATAAACTCTGTGTACATTTACCATCTAATTCTAAATTAGTGATCATTACCTTACTGAATTCTCGAGATTTCACTTTCGTAGTTTGTATGTCGGTGGGACTCATAATTATAATAATCTAGAAACGTTTAGACTCGACTAGTTGATACTTCTCATGTTTCTTGAATGTGAAACTATGAACAATCATCATTTTCATGAAAAACTCCACATCACATTCTGTGTTTCG